GCTAGTGACTATGAGTCACTTCGGATATTCGGGTGTCCAGCTTATTATCATGTCAGTAATGGTAAATTAAATCCGAGAGCGAGGAAAGCAGTCTTTGTGGGATTTAGAGATGGAATCAAAGGCTTCAAGTTATGGGATCCACAGGATAAGAAGATAGTTATTAGCAGAGATGTCATATTTAACGAGGCGTATATGATGAGGCCTCGAGCCTCTCAGCAGGTGGAGGGAGACCAGACAGGAGGGATATCGCAGCAGGTGGAGGATGATGTGTTTCCACTCACTCCAGAGAGCACTGAATCCATTGAGGCTCCTACAGAGGTGACACTGGGAGGAGATGAGATGACAGCCGGGAAGATAGAGGATACAGTGGATTATGAGACTCAAGAACATGGTCATGTTCAGAGGTCTATTGCAGCAGATAGACCGAGGAGAGAGATTCGTCGGCCAGCTAGGTATAATGATGTCATGGTCGCATATACCGAGGAGAGAGATTCGTCGGCCAGCTAGGTATAATGATGTCATGGTCGCATATGCATTATCAGTGGAAGTCGTTGATGATATGGTTCCAGCCACATTCAGGGAGGCAGGGTCTAGCCCCGATTCGATCAGGTGGAGAGAAGCTATGGAGGAGGAGATGCGGTCTCTTCAGAAGAACGATACTTGGACACTTGCACATCTACCTAAGGGTAAGAAAGCTATTGGTTGCAAGTGGGTATTTGCGAAGGAGGGATCTTCTATTGAGGACATTCGGTTCAAAGCCAGATTGGTTGTCAAGGGATATGCACAGCTTGAGGGCATTGATTACAACGAGGTATTTTCACCCTTTGTGAAGCATTCGTCGATACGGATTTTATTAGCATTGGTGACACAGTTGGATTTGGATTTGGTCCAGATGGATGTGAAGATAGCCTTTCTACACGGTGATTTAGATGAGGAGATCTACATGACACAATCCCAGGGTTTGAAAGCTGCAGGAAAGGAAGATTTGGTTTGTAAGCTGAAGAAGTCTCTTTATGGTTTGAAGCAGTCACCAAGACAATGGTATAAGGGATTCGACGACTTTATGATTGGCCGAGGGTACACGAGGAGCCCATATGACCCATGTGTTTATATGCACAAGCTACATGATGGTGAGCACATATATTTACTTTTATATGTTGACGATATGTTTATTGCTTCCAGGAATTCTTCGGCTATTCGAAAGCTGAAAGAGGAGCTATCATCCGAGTTTGAGATGAAGGATCTTGGAGAGGCAAAGAAGATATTGGGTATGGAGATCGAGAGAGACAGGGTGAAAGGGAGTTTGAAACTTACACAGAAGAGCTACTTGCAGAAGATGTTAAAGAAATTCAGCTTTGACGGTAATGCAAAAGCAGTTAGCACATCATTGGCTCCCCACTTCAAGCTTTCAGCGTTGATGTCACCTGTTTCAGTTGAAGACATAGATTATATGTCAAATGTCCCATATGCCAGTGCAGTAGGTAGCTTGATGTATGCGATGGTGTGTACGAGGCCAGATTTGTCACAGGCCGTGAGCATGATATCGAGATACATGCACGACCCCAGGAAGGGTCATTGGGAGGCAGTGAAGTAGATTCTACGGTATGTTCGAGGTACCGTGGATGTTGGTTTAGTATTCCAGAAGGATGAAAAGAATGGGCAGGATTGTATTGGATATGTGGATTTAGATTATGCTGGAGATCTTGACAAATACCGGTCTACTTCAGGTTATGCTTTTACATTGGCAGGTGCACCTGTATGTTGGCGATGCACGCTTCAGTCCACAGTGGCTCTCTCTACTACAGAGGCAGAGTATATGGCAGTAACTGAAGCTATTAAAGAGGTTTTATGGTTGCGTGGATTATTGGATGATTTGGGGATCGCTCAGGAGACTATTCGGGTATATTGTGATAGCATGTCGGCTATCTATTTGGCGAAGAACCAGGTTTATCATGCGCGCACGAAGCACATCGACGTCAGATTCCACTTTGTACGTGACGTGTTGAATGATGGAGACGTCATATTAGAGAAGGTCTACACAAATGACAACCCTACAGATATGTTGACCAAAGTTGTTTCAGGAGTAAAATTTGGTCATTGTTTGAAGCTTTTGAACATCCTTCAGTGCTGAGGCATTCGGAGGCCATTTGGATGAACTACGTTCGGCTTGATTCCTTGGGCAAGAGGATACGTAGGCAGTCTTTCAGATGCAGCCGGTTTGATCAGTTGATTCAGATAGGGGGAGATCACGTTTCAGCTCTAGTTTGGTTCCCTGACTTGTTGAGGATCTATTGGATGATTTGGTGTCGGCTCAGTTTTGGTGGAAACATTCGCCGAGGTGGAGAATTAAAGAAACGTGCACAAGTGCTACCAGGATTCGGAGCTGCTAGCGGTCGACCGCGGATGACTGTAATTGATTTTACTCTCGGGTTTGTGGTTCGGTCGACTGCCGCGGTCGACCGTGAACCTGCGCGGTCGACCGCCGCGGTCGACCGTCGCCTGATTGGGCTGAGCCTTTTGGATTTTGACCCGGTTTGTTTCTGAGTTGATATATAACCTAAACCTGATTTGTTAGGGTTAAGCAAGGACGAATTTGTGCAGTCTTTGAGAGAGGATTGTTGCATCCAATTGTGGGAGAGTTGTGAGAGATCAAGAGCTTTGTTTTAGGGTTTGGTCTGAGAGATTTGTAACTCTACTTGTATTCTCTGATTTCTAATAGTAAGAACTCTCTCCCTCTTGCCTCGTGGACGTAGGCAACTTGCCGAACCACGTAAATTGTTTGTTCTTGCTGTGGTTGTGTTTGCATATTAGTTGTGTTTTAGTTCGAGTTATTGTTAGTGTTGCACAAAAAAAGCTTCCGCCGCGCACAACAGGCAAATGGCATAATAGTTAAGAGAGAAGGAAAGAAAGTGGTGAAGATGGAGGAGATAGCAAAGACGATGAAGAATGTGATGAAGAGAAAGAGGCGGAGGAGTGGAGAAAATATGTATTTATGTATCCTTAGAGATGAAAATTATTTGATCTAGAGTTCACGTAGAATTATGTACTTGTAGTAGTTTTGAGTTTAGTTGATCGATTCATGTTAGTTGTGGATTTTGTACTTGAATAAACTTGATCATATTTATGCTATTCATTAGGAATTTAGGCAGTTACTAAGCACTAGTTTATGTACATATGTTTTTCTTATTAACATGTCTCTCCAGTAATTTTATGTACATATGTTTTTCTTATTAACATGTCTTTCTTTTAACTATAAATTTATGGATGCTCATATTTAACAATAAATAGAAGGAACGCCTTTGAAAGTTAAATTTTTAGTTACCTGAGGACAACCTTTAGAGGGTTAATTTCATAAAACACACATGAACTCGGGGAGTTTTGTGAGATTTAACTTAAACTCTAAATTATGTCTAGTTTCAACTAAATTGTGTAATAGAGTTTAACTGATTCAGATATAGCGAACTTAAAACTATGAGAAGGAATCAACAAAGTAGTATCTAAAAAGAATTGCTATAAATATTTCTTTTTCTAAAACTTATTGAAAACCAAGTTGAGATTTGGATATAAAGAACAATGGACTAATCATAAAGTAGCTGGTCTTCTTATAGCTCAAGGTTGAGGTATCCGTATTACATACTATAGAACTTACTAGTGCTTATATCATGCAGGATAAATGACATAGTGGGGAATGTTAATTAATCTCAAAAAGAATTCTAATAAAAAATACACAATTATGCCTACTTGCAGCACACATACACTATACTAGCAAAGAGAAAAGGACCAATTATGTCATATTAGGAAAGTTGAGGTCTTTTTTGCAAATAATCATTTTTATTTGAGAGGCTAGAATAAATTTTGTGTTGAGATATTGTATTCATGATAGTTTAGAATACTTTGCATAGATCATTATAGTTTTGTGAAATTTATTCATAAAAAGTAGTTTAGGATAACTTTCTAAAACCTATTAATATCATGGTGATGGTAATTTTCCTAAGAACTTACCTTTATATTAATTGCTGAACAAATTTACATAGAAAATTAAATCCGAAATTGCAAAAACAGGATCATATTTTGTATCTGTATTTTGCAAAGTGTATATATTTCAATCTGACCTGAGACAAGACATCAATATCAATAACTTGTGATTTTTAAAGAGAACTTGTGCAGAGGCATAGTGGAGTCTACAGAATTTCAAGCAAAAATCAACGGTGCAAAATAAACTAAAACTGTAATATAAGGAGCAAAAAGCTTTTCTGAGGAGTCTGAAGAATAAGAAAAAGCCGTGAAACAGCCCAATATGTGACGCTCATAAATTAAAGAGGACTATCTTATGATAGTTTGCATTTGAGGGAAGGGAATGTGAGGATATGCTGAATTTGCAACCCAAAAAAAAAAGAACTAATTGTGTTTAGTGTAATAAGTCTTGGCGTAATAATGCCAAGACCCATAAATAATTATACCATTTTGAAACTGTCAAAACCAATCCTACCAGAATAAAGATTATTAGCCGCTCAGGTGGTTCACCAAAACTTTACCTCCTCATCCTGTGTGAGTCTAATACACCGGAATATTTTGTATTGCACAAAAGGAAATATAAACACATTCTCTTTGAGGAACCCAACGATTGTTCTTCCCCAAAATCATAGGGGGATTCATCAAAAATGCTCCATAATCTCCCATTCAAAATCCAAAATTCCCCATTTATCCCCTTCCTATGTGACCTGGGTCATCAATCTCTTTCAGGCTTCAACAATGCCTTTGATGAGAGATCTTAAGACCCTGAGATGGGTCTCAGTTTTATTGGCCTTCTGCAATCTGGGCTTGGTTGTCATTGGAGGAATGTTGGCTGTCTTGATATCTCCGAGCTGCCCCAGTATGTATATTCTGCCTTTGGGGATCGTCTCGCTTGTTGCAGTGGTTAGGATTTTGGGGGATCGTCTCGCTTGTTGCAGTGGTTAGGATTTTGTACATGGTAGGGGCAGCCAAGGCTCAACAAGCCACAGCAGCCACCATTCTTGGGGAGACCTTTGAGGCTGCGGTCTGCACGGAGGTGACGATTCGGCAAGAAAGACGGGTGATCCATTAAATTAGACCTTGTTTTGTGAAGTTTCCTAATTTGCGTATTTAAATAATTTGATATGAATGTGATATATTCATGATATTGCGGATTTGATATGATGTATATAGTACAATCATAATTGCTTCCACGTGCAATGAAGGCCATTATATGCACCAAGTAAAAGACGTGATAAGATTATAATTAGTGGAGAAAGGATTAGAAGTTGGCCTAAGAGAGCTTGGTTAGATATTTTTAAGAAGGATATAATAATGCTTAACTTAATGAGAAGATAGGAATTGAATAGAGAGTGGGATTCATTTAGCCGACCCAAAAATTTGGGATAAAGGCTTTGTTTCCAATTGTAATTGTTGCTATAATCACTTCAAATCTTAAACTCTGTGGATAAACTCATTTAAGCAATGTTAATGATACCTTTCTAATTTGATTGAACTTAAAGATCAATTTAAGACGTGTGACCATGAGTGGGATGTGGCCTATTATTCAACTACAAGTTAAAATCCCTCAAGATGTTTGTTTTATGCTTTATAGTAGTAGAGAAGAATGGGCATTATGTACATTGATTTTTATTACAGTTGTAGATGACAGATTACTGATGTTGTTAAATGTACTTCTGGTCTTGTATTGCCTAGATGCGATATAGGAAATGGCTCTGGTGGACTAGATTTGGTATGATGGTCATGACATTGCAGTTTGTGGTGGCAATTTATGTCATGTATATAATACTGAAAGACATTTCCAAAAGCAATGATGCTGCAATGTGCTTCTTTGGTAAAGTTAAAGATCAACTCTGCAGAAGTTTCTTTGTACATTTTAGTTTTGCTATCATGGTTCTATAATTTGTTTCTTTTGTGGTTTCTCATTGTTGCAACTAGCAATTACAACTTTTGTTCTATTTTAGACTTACCATATTGGTTAACAAAGTCTAATGCAGGTCGATATTGGCTAATAACAACTAAGAAAAGAGGAATCTGAGTTTTGAACTACTAAAATATATTTGATAGTGTTATGAGAAAAATTCAAAAAAAAAATTTTTTTTAACTTCAACTGACTTTTTCCATGTATTAATAATGCCCATCTGAACTTGTGAAACAGCTAGATTGTTGACAACATTACAGACAAACCAAAACAATGAGTAGTACTGATATTTCAAATAAGCGCGCGCACACACACATATTGAGGCACACATATACACACATTAAGGCACACATATAGACAAGCTTTTACTTTACTGCACAGATTAATGAACAAGTATTGTCCAACATGTGTGCACTTGTCTCAATATCTCCATGACACCTCCCCTTCATATATGTGATTAGTGTTTCACTACTCATATTACTACCATTTTTATTTGGATAAGCCATAGAAATTGGTACATCAATCATCTCCTGCCTTTCCAAACAGTAGTTCTTCCTTTTAGTTGGAGAACAGAAGAAGGGAGGGAGAGGGAATGAAGGGGACAAGAGAAAGAATAACAGAGGTTCAAACCCGCAAAAAGTGTTCGGCCAAAGACTGTAGTCATCATCACATTTGAGCTGCTAGATGCCATCATCGGGTTATTGATGTCCTGAACATGTTTTAATTATTACTTATATGTGATTTGTCCATAGCATGCATTTTCCTTCTGAGTCTGGCATAATAAGTCATCATTTTGTCCTTTAGACATCTGATACACTTTTAGGTTTTAAGATGTTAAAGAATTCAACTTTGTCTGTTTCCTCCTACTGTCTACATGGTTGGTAACAAATGGCTCCAATTCCCTTGTTGATACAATATTGCATTCTACAGATTATGTGCTAATACAGTCTTCCATGTATATATAAAAAATCTCTTCTTTAAAAGTTGTATTTGTCTCCATCTGAAAATTTAGACCTCAATAAAGCTCATGATGTTTATGTTTCTTGAGAAAACTATAATTTATTTTTTTACTATAAATTAAAGTATCAAATTACTGCTAGAAAACCATATTTTCTATTTTGATCTCATGTGCCTCTATCTGTTTAATGACTACCTTCATTGTATCCAGGACAGGATGCTGAACAAAGAGGCTGGAAGAAAATATTGATGATTTGTTTCCTTGTCCTCATATGGGTTGTGGTTATTATTCAGTGCATTACAGGGTCAGACGTATTAAGATGGAGATCCTTTTATGCTACCCATGACTCAGCATGGAAAGCTCACTATCGAGAGGTCTTTGACCATGGTATACGAGAGGCCTTATGCTGCATGGGACGTGTAAAATACTTGTATGTCTATCTATTGAATAAACGAAATTATTTTAGTCCTCCAGTTGGTACACATTTTGTATTTTATGTCTTGTTCAGGAGTGTTTTGGAAGAAGATGAAGTTTATTCTGTGGCAAGATTATTGGGTGATCTTGTGGCATACAGAGCCTCAGGGACTGGGCATTTCGATCTCTTGGCAGGTAACTTTCTTGCTTTTGATAATTCTTGGGAAACATTATTTTCAGGCAAAACTTCAGTGGAGGTCCCTCATGTATTGGTCAAATATCATCTAGGTCTTTTATATTTAAAAGTGATCAGGGGTGTTCTCTAACACTAATGTTTTCTCTGTTATCAATCTAGGTCCTTTTTACGAACTTACTTTAAATTTTGCAATTGTGTTAGTGGCATGATAGGAGACTTGTAATTCAACTAGCTTTTTTCCTGACCGGATGCCTTGCCACATCAGCAAGATTGAACGCATGTTTGTAAAAAGTACCTAGGCCAATGGCAAAGGTCATGTTAGGGGCTGATAAGTGATAACTTCCAAACATAAAGGCCTAGATGACATTTGGCCTATACATGAGGGATCTCCTCTAAAAGTTGCCTTATTTCAAGTTTTTACCACTTTCCAATCTTACATTTTCTTTTTCTTGGAAAGATGGTGTTTTCCAATTCTTTGCAACATTATATAATTATCTTAAATATATCAGATTTTATGTAATACAAATTTAGTTAAAAGAACAAACTGATGTTGGTCGTGAGTAAAAGAAATTCATAGTTATTCCTTTGGTATATCTGTTCTTTTCTTCAGGGCTAGCTCTATTGCAGAAACGTAAAAAATTTCCAGAGCTGTATGGGGAGCTTATTGAGGCACCTGAAGCACGTATTCAAGAGGCTGCACTGTTCCATCGATATTCTGAAGCTGCATATACAGTTACGCAATGCAAAATTTTTGCCCTTTATAAATATTTATAGTTTAGAAATTTAATTTTTTTTTGGTTTTGCAGGGCCCACTGCTTGATTTTGGAAGGAATCCTGTTTTATTTCCATGTGCCTGGCTTCATAGACAAGGAATTTTAACTCCTTGGACCCGTAGCAGGTTTTTCTACATGTTTATCTTTTTAATAGCTTGAGCTTGTTTCATGTCAAATTTCCTATAGCAAAGTATAATAACCTATTCTAAACAATTCTATATTGAAACTAGAGTATGGAATATTAATCAAATGAAGACCTATTTGCTGCTTCCCCTCTAAATATCCCTTTCCTTTCAGTTCACTGTAGCTGACAACATATATTATGGATTGTAGGCGTCCTGCTCTTGAAGGTGATAATTGGTGGCGAGGTCACGCAGCCGCATTCCTCAAATGTATTAATTTACCTCCTGAAGCTCTTCGTAAGGGTCGTGTTCGTCAAGTAAGATTATATTTTACTATGTCATTTTTATTTTGAACTTGTTGGTAAATATGTTCTGTGTTACCTGGGTACTTCTATTCGGAAGCGGTACCAATATCCGACACATGCCCATATCTGTACCCAAACTTCTTAGACACTTCTTGAATATATGCATATGTTTGTTCAGGTGTATACTCAATTATATAATACATTTTTTAATTTAAAACACTCCTCATGCACTTCTTGGATGTATATTCTACGCCGCATCTATTTCTTATATATTGACTCATGTAAATGAAAAAACAATGTTGATTTTATGTAAATTATTAATTTTAACCCAATATAAATATATGTAATATACATACATATAGCCATGTCACTGTACCCTATCTTTTACAAATTTGTCGTGTCCCGTACCCGTATCCATTAGGGATGCTAAACCGTATCCGTATCCGATGAAATATTCGTAACTGTATCCGTTAGGATGCGAATATGGTTACTCAAATCTCTAACCGATAGGATATGGTTATGAATATAGTTTTGTAGTGAAATATCTATATCCGTATCCGGAATATCCGAATACATATTAGTTATACTCTTACGATAGTTTCGATTCTTAAATTATGGATTTGTGGTTAATTTTGATGATCGAGATGTCTAATCTTAGCTTTTTAGCTATAATAAAATTATTAACGACCTCTTTTGCATCGCATGAACTATGTTTTTCTCAATACTATCTAGTTTTCTCATATCCGTTTTGTATCCGCATACATATCCGCTTATATATCCGCATCTATAACTGTAATCGTATCCAATTTTAGTGGATATGATTTTCCTTACTGAGGTACATCCGTATCCGTATCCGTATCCGTATCTGAGATGGGTAAATGGATATGGATACGGTAAGTGGATACGGTAAGCATCGTATCCGAACCGTATCCGGACCGAATGCACCCTTAGTATCCGTGCAACTTAGGTTCTGCCATATAGTAATCCTCTAGGTTAAAATATTCAAACTTGTTGGGCTTTTGTATTGTATCGGGTCACTCGAATAGCGCCATGGATGCCACTTTCTTCTATAATGTATTACTGAATTATCAACTATCATTCCTGGACCCTGAACTACCCTAATGTTGTATACATTTCAAAGGCGTACCTGAAAATTTTGATTAGTTCGAAAAGATCAACATTGATAGTTTATTTTCAATCCTGTAGCCTAAAGTTTGCATTTTGATATTAATACCTCAAATCTCAATATTTTAAATCATGCTTCAAGTCATTTTAGCTTAACCAAGACCCACATCTTAGTTTTCTTCTGATTATAATATATTGAATTTTCCTTAATTACGTAATGGATTGTTGTCCAAATTTCATATGTATCCTAACTGGCATATAGTGAAACAAATGGGATGTGGTCATGTGGCGTTCAACCCAATTTATGTGACCAAACTATTAAATAGCAATCTTAGTCTCCCAAGAACATGACTATCTTGTCACATTAGGATATGATGACAAATAACAAGAGAAAATAAACGCATGAACTAAACTATTTGTTTTTCAGTAGTATTCAGATACAACCCTACTATCATCTGAACCCTTATGATAGTGCAAAACCTCCTCCTGCTCATATCTGAATCTTCAGGACCAAATACAATCTTGTTCTTGTCCTTTATTGCCATGCCAGTTTTAAAGTGCCGCTCCTCTCTCAAGCTTTGATATTCTTCTTAAGCCTTCTCAATAATTCCGATGTCAGTCCTGAGCTTGAGAAGGCTTCTTCATCTCCTTAACCATCTGCTGATGTACACTCACTGCAACCCATTTTTGGGCTATAATAGTCTCTTTGAATAGTAAAACAGCCTATTTCTTCTATCTATCCTTACTCTATTCCTTTGATTAGATTCTAAGCTTCCAGCAATGAACCATGGACTATATCAATTAGCCCTTTTAAATGTAGTTCATTGATTTCTTAGGGGCATTGAATATCTAGAGAAAGACATATGAATAATGTTAATGACATCACAAAGGATATACTCATCGTACCTAAATCAATAACAATGTTAGAGTTAGTTCATCCTGTCCTTACCTTTGGCTAGTAATTGTCATAGCATATGCATAAGTTCATTCAGTTTATGTTTCACTTGTAGCTCAAGGAATTACATATTCAAGTTCAATCAATATCTCAACAGGATCCTTATCTAATAGTTTCATTTTTTCCCCTCAAATTCGCAGTTAGCTTTTCAGACAATTTGTTTTTGTTATTTTTTTACACTCAAATTATATTGCAGTTATAGCTCCAGGAATTGCATTTCGAAGTTCAAACAGGATTTTTGTTTTAAAATTGCATGGTTCTTAAGTTTCGGGTTAAACTAGAGAGATTGATGCTTTCATTTGGTTTCTTCTTACAGAGAAAGCGTGAGGTAGCTTACTTTGTTGTGGCACTCCATCATCATAAATCTGTACTTGTTGCTGTTCGTGGTACTGAAACTCCTGAAGACCTTTTAACTGATGGTTTATGCAGGGAGTGCAACCTTTCTCTGGATGATTTGGATGGATTGATCAAGAAAGTTTCTCTCACCCCGATGTGTGTGCATGCCCGGCGTGTGTGTGTGCATGTGCTTGTGTCTAGTCAATTTGTTTTTGGTATAGTGCCCATTTTCTTCTTATTCTCATGCAAGATGCATGTAGACTATAAGTTTGATATTTTCTTCATCCCTGTATATTTTGTACACTTTCTTCCTAAAATTAGAAAAGACAAATCAACATATATAAACTTAGCATTCGTCCAAAAGTTTGAAGACACTGTACTTACCCCAGATCCGAAACACCACATTGTTCAAACACAATATCTCCTTCCTCTTAGCACCATTAAGGACTGTTAAAAATAGCTCATATGAATAGCATATAGGCTATTTTATGATGAAAAATACCCCTTGGGCCTTCTTCATATATGATCCCTCTGTAAACAAACTCGTTTTTCCATTAAAGTTTTCATTTTGTAAACCTTTCAAACCCGCAGCCAAATTATTTCTCTATAACTTCCTTCTTACTTCCTTTCTCTTTCTGTTTCCTTCTCATGAACTCTCTTTGACTCTCTTCGCCTTTTTAATTCACTTTCTCTCTTTAACTTCCCTACTGTGTTTAATCCACTGTTACTTTCTAACTCACTCTCTTTAAGATCCTATAATTCTAACATATCTTCTCTTCCTAATTCTATTTCTCTCTCTCACTCTATAACTTACTCTCTGCAACTCTTTTTTTCTCTCTAACTGTCTTTCTATGGAATTTTATCTCTGTTGCCTGTTTGCAGAAATAATTCATTCTACTCTGCAGATCTATCTATGATGGAAATCCATATGCTTTTTCCTTTTTTGTATTTTTGTACTTCAAGAAATTTCCTTTAATAGACTACTCGAAAAAGCTTTTTTCCCCTCATCTTCTTTGCTTTTCATCTGGATTCAAATTTTCCTTGAAAGTACTACATTTCTTGCTACTCAGGAATTATACTTAGCTGGCAATATAGAAGGAAGACCAGAAGTTATTCGATGCTAAGTGTATACTTTTATGAAGCTCATTTGGTTGGGAACTGATAAGTTCTGAGCAATACAGTTACTTGCCTTACGATATTGGTCTTTTATGAGTACTTGAGTCGTGAACTTTCTTCCAAACTCCTTGTCAGATGTCTCCACCTATTGCAGAGCAATACTTAGTAGAACTATTATTCCATTACAATGGACAAACATATTCACAACATGAAGAGCAAATAATTGCAACAGCAGTTTTCTCTCAATCAAGAACTAGTTGAAACAACAGAACAAACAAAACAATAGCTAACATTTAATATTCTCTAGTAATCCTAGTAACCAAACTATATTGACATTTCATTGCTATCGTAGTAAGTTAGTAACCAGCATTTTACTGTTGTAGTAACTATCCAAGAGGGGGGAGTGTTTAAGCAAACAAACTACGTTAACCTAAATCCATTAACGAAATCAATGACACCCTCCACAGATATAGACAAGTTGATGGCCTCACTGATACATGATTGTGGGGTCAAGACTAGATGTTCTCTCTCTGTCATGTCTCAAGCCCACAAGCCTGTGGGCGCGATGTAAGTCATGAGACCTACTAAGAGCAACTTATTGTTTGGCTCAAAGACTCAAACAGTGCAAAACGATGCTAGCACTACTCGCTCTTATGCTCTTTGACATCACTATTTAAATTGTTCAAAGTCTTTTAGTTTTCCTGATGTGGGACTATTTTCAGATATCATAGTCACCCTGTCATTAATACGCGACGCCCTCATTGCAACATGCTCATTGCAACATTATGACAATTATCACATCCTAGTATCACCATGTGGACTCTAGAGGTGGCTCCTACAAGCTCTAGAGGTGGCTCCCACCGTACTCACGTAGTGTAGCACTTAGTCCCACACAACTTAGTTCCACACTTCTGGCTAGCAGACTGCTTGTTACCATTTTTCTTATCCTGAGCCAGCTAGTCCATTGCTGGGATGTAAGTTGTGGGATCCACTAAGAGCAACTCATTATTTGGTTCAAACCACCGCCCTAGTATTAGTTACTCTTGAACCCTTTGACTTCACTATTAGAACTATTGAAAATCTTCTAGTTTTGTGGGACTGATTGGGGTATCACGCTCTCAATAAATTCTGGTGAATTCAACTCTTTGATAGAAGAATGTATCATGTTCTATGGAACACCTCCCTTGAACACCTTCAACAAGTACTCATGTATGGATAAAAGATTGTACCTGCATAGGATCTAATAATACAAGCCCTATGAGATAAATTAAAGATGATAACATAAAAAAATAAAAAATACATATGGCCACACACCATTCTACTCAAATATATTTCAGAAATATCGAAGAAGAAAAACATAAGCTGAAATATATTCTAAATAACAAGCAAATAAAAATAAATGTAAGACCCCATTGTACATAATTATATTATCATGTATAGCTCGAGTCTTGAGTTTTTTTCTTACTTGCTAATTGTTTAACCCAAGGTTTTAAATGTGGCCGGCATGTCCGACATGTCTGAGAGCTTGACTGACACGACACAGACGTTTTCAAATCGTATGTCGATTTTCAGGACCAAATCAGAAATATCAGGGTCATATCGGGCATATCGGCCTATTTTTTTTAGCTTTGAAAAATCGGCCGATATGGTACTTTTTTTAAGATCTGTTTTTTATTATCAGATTTGGGTTTAGTGATAAATACCCAACTCGTTTGACCCGTTCTTATGTTTAAGGGTTTCTTATCAACCCGATAGAAAGAATTTATGAACCCAAATCCATATATTATTTATTTTTTTATATGTTTAGTCTATAGACAAATCCATATATTATTTATTTTTTTATATGTTTAGTCTATAGAATTTATAAAGTATGCTTATATTGAATTTATGAATGCTTAGATTACATTTAGGACATGATATTATACATATGCGCACTACCCGATATGGCAATCCGATATTTAGTCAATGTCCCCCGATATATCCCCGATTTTCGCTATCCGACATGGATTTCAGCCATCTAACATGAACCCGACATCCGACATTTAAAACCTTGGTTTAACCTATATTTTAGTATGTCTTGTTCTTTCACAATATTCCCTAATATATTTGGGGTACAACGAAGTGTGGTCATATGCATTTTTTTAATTTTATCTTTGTAAGTTTATCTCATAGGACTTGTATTTTTAGGTTCTATGCAGTAGAATCTTCTGTTTGTACATGAAAACTTGTTAAAGGTGTTCGAGTCAAGTGTTCCGAGGATATGATACAATTTTCTATCAAAGAGTTGAATTTACCGAATTTTGTTGAGAGAGATGATCTAGCTTTGACCCCAATCATATATCAGTGAAGCTATCAAATTGGCTATATCGGTCGAGGGCGTGATTGATTTGGTTAATGGATTTAGGTTAATGTAATATGTTTGTTTAAACATTCCTCACTTTCAGATTGTTCTCATAACAGTGAAATGTTAATTTAGTTTGGCTACTGCGATTTACTAGAGAATATAAATTGTTATATTTGTTTGTTGTGTTGTTTCAGTAAGTTTTTGTTAAAGGCATTCCAATTAGTTGCTCTTCATATTGTTCAATTTATTTCCATTATTTGGTTTTAGTAAATTTGCACCATAGATACATATATAAAGTTTTAAACATGTCTGTGAAACAAGTCCGTGTTTATTAGAAGATCTCTCGTTTTCCTTTTTATTTTATATCTGTTGTCACCTTTCATTGCTGCTCATTATCAAGTTGCTGGATGTGCTTCTAGTTTTTCATGTTTATTGTCTTTGATGGCTACGGGAAATTTTCAGACGTATTCTACTTGTTCCCTCACATTAATAAATAGATATTTAGCATTATGGGATAAGGCATGTTACTAAACTTGCAATTTTCAGTCTTATTCCATGGATACTACTGTCTTATTTGAGTGCTTAATTTTGTGTGGATTATTCTATTAACTTATAAGAGACTGTTATTGTCCTTTAATCTGTTATATAATCCTGAAATGTGTCCTTCTTTTTGCAGTAGCGATCAACTAGCCCCAGGAGTGAGAGAAACTGTTCTCTCCACCTTTCCACATTACGGTCATTCTGGGATTGTTGAATCTGCAAGGGAGCTTTTCGAGCAACTTGATGGACTTACTACAGAAGAAGGTTAGGATTTAATTCCTGTGTTTATATTCATCAAATCAATTGCTTACTGCTTGCCTTTTCCCCCCTTCAAATCTTCAACCTTTTCTAAACTCGGTATTGGAAAGAGCGTATGCCACCCTGTTTGCAAAAAAATATGTGACGAAATTTGATGGATTATATTGAAATGATTGTCATTTTGCAATGAAATGTTCTTTGCAGATTGCTGTCCTTATCTGCACCTTTAAATTCCATCACTGATTGGAGTCATTGGACCTTTTTCTCCTGTATAACCCAGTTAACTTTTGTCTCTTAAGGCTGATATGTAACTTGGCACATCTTTTTTGACTAGTAAAGATATGTTGCGCAAGCATTAATGTTTAACTGTACAGGTCTTGTTAACAAAGTAAGTTCGTCCAATGATCTTCATCATTCGAACCTTTTCCAACCATTCAAGTCATGATACTTCGCTAACAAAGTGAATAAATAGTATAAGAGCATCTAAAAATTACATGAAATTGTGAATCCATTAGTTCATACATTTAATTCTAAATTTACTTGTGCTGAAGCTAAATCTCTAGTAAGACATCAAAAATTTCCAGTATACATTAAAGATATCAGGACACAAAAATATCTAACAGGTATCAATCAAGTATATGAGTGTCCATGTGCTGGCAGGGTAGGGGAGAAGCGTTCACAAGGACACATAATAAAACTCAGAGTCTCAAACAATGACTTTTATTGCACTTCCAAAAAAAATCTGAAGCTGATAGAGAGGATTGCAGTAAAATTTGCAAAATTACAGGTTCACGTAATTTGGGTACTTAAGCTTTACCAGAGTATCCATGCAACATAGGTCCTAACACTTCAAAAAATTAATATTTCTTTTTATCAGTATATTGTTTAGTCATAAATTTATAGTGTTCTACTTTCTATTACTAGTTAACAATGTGGATTTAATTTAATTGAATTTACAAAATAAGGATTGCATGTTCCCGCAGATGAATCTCCATTCGAAACACCTGGATTCCTTTCTTCTTTGCTCGGAAACGGTTCTGATTGCCAGGGATACAGAGTTATCATTGTAGGGCACTCATTAGGAGGAGCTATTGCCACTTTACTGGGAGTGAGGGTAAGACGTTATAGTGTTCCATAAGAACCATGTGTAAATATTAACTATTTGATCTCATTCTTATTTACTGCTACAACTCTCTTGGCTGCTGACTGCTGACTGCCTCAATCTGACTGTATTGATTGCCAATACTTAAATTTATTTTTGAGTCTTTTGGAAATCAAGACTTAAATTTATTTTTGAGTCTTTTGGAAATCAATTCGTTGCTAGAGCTTTAGATTGGAATCCCATTTCTAGCACTTTGCTTCACCAAATTGATAATTAGAGCTACTAATGTCCATAGAAAGTTTCATCATTGATGTATCAACCAGATAGTAACCGGACACTGAGTTCTTTGTTTCTCAAGTACTTTGAGAATTCTTAGCTATCAGTGACAGAAATGTGAGGATTCCTGGTCATGGAAAGTAACCGTTCTTTTGAAGTATTCCTCAATCTTCATTCTGTTCAGGGCTTAGGTTATAACTAATATCTAATAGAGATCTGGATTAAATTAGATTATCTTCACTGATAAAAAAAAGATGATCCTTATGTAATGTAGTATATAGTGATTTTCAGATACAAATAGGTAACAACAACAAACAGAAAAAATATTACAACCAATGCTTTGTATATAACCTCAAGATATTGCTTTGCCGTTACAATAGATAAGTCAATTCTTGTAGTCTATATCCCATTACATAATTCTTTAAGATAAAAGAATACACAAAACAAAAGGTCTTATAATTTATATAAACGAACGGAACTCTCACTATTATGCAAATATTTCATTTTTTTCCCAAGCCATCTCCATTATGCTGAAATCTTCTTCAGAAACTCGCCGTTGACCCGATTTCTGCTTCATATGCCAAGCAAGTAAAAAGTAAACTTTGCTAGACATTAGAGAAGCATATTTAAAAAGAATAAATAGAGATGAAAATCTTTTATTAGCTCTTGAGGAAAGATCAATGGCAGGTTTAAGTTAACATCAAACTCTGTGCCTCTTGATTCATCAAGGTCATAAATACCCCGATTACATGGATTCCATTAGCCCATCAATTGAGACCCTTCTGTGCTAAAACATTCCATTAGTTAAATCCATGCAAATCTTGATTCATTCGTGTCTGCAAAAATGCATGACGACATGCAATGATCCGTATTTTTTCTTCAATTTATTTTCGATTTGGTTTAGATATTAGTTCATGAACATGCATGAAATAAGTTTTATTTCAGATTTCATTTGAGGGAAGAGGAAATGCATTTTCAAAATGCATGAACATATGATATAGGTTATCAGAAAGGCCACTGTAACCTTGTTGGAGAACTATATGCAATGGTATGCTGACATTTATCAGCAAAAACAATAGTTTATGTTTTATTTTCTCATCTCATTTATGGTAATTTGCTCAAGAAAAATTGCCATTATCTGAGAATGATAGTTTGTTCTGATCTGGTTAAGCGCTACAGAGACCTGTCAGCTACTGGCTAACCGGCTCTACTAACTGCTACTCTAGAGTGGAGGATTGCCTGATTCTGCTGAGTTTAGTCTACCATGAAACTAATCAACTGATTATACTGACTTTTCTTTTGGGAAAATGGTCTAGCGATGCTAAATCTTTCTTCTTAGACTGAACATGGTTCTGTTAACCGATAGAACTTGTTGCTGTTGCGTATGCTGAAAATTCTCCACCTTTTTTGCTTAATACGACTTTATTTGTCTTTGATTATATAGCATGTTTACTTTCTTCTTTGAGCCTGAACATGTTCCATGTATACAATGAGTCGCTCATTTTCAATGTGTAGTGTGACAATTGGAGCGTGCTTCTCTGAAAAAATTCAGTGATATGTCGATGTTTTGGACCCAAAGAAGCAGTATCAAAATGACTTTCCTGCATGAAAATGAGAGCCCTTTTTGCTTTAAGAAAATATTTGATTATGTGGAATGTGCATAGCGAGTTTCTGATATTTTTTTCAGGATATGAATATTTGAATCCTCTTTTCAAAGAGTATGATCTCGAATTCTGTCAATATCACTTTTGTTTAGAGTGAATGCTCCCTATATCAAATGTTTGGTTAAGGCTAAAAATTCTGAAACCGGTAAACAAAACTCCTCTGTATCTTAAACATTCTTAAAAAGCTAAATTTATTTACACGCCATAGATTTAAATTGACTTGTATTTCATGAATTGTCTCTTTTCATTTAGTGTCTCAATTAATATATAGAATTCTTTGCTTGGCAAAATGTTGCGAATAAGCTGGCAGAAAAAAGCCTTTATCCTAATGGGGGACTAAAGAAAACCAATCTAATCTAGGATCTTGTAAAATGGTTCTTATTCTCCATAATGTTTAGTTTTTTTGCCTCATCGTTATAGTGTTTTCCCATCTCCTTTAAGGGTGTGTTTGGTTAGGTGTACTTGGAATCCCATGTTGTTCCAACTACATCTAAATTTTAAAAAGTGTTGTTTGGTTAGATGTTGCAACATTAAAGGGTTGTTGTAACAACAAAATAAGTCAAAAATAGAAGTGTTGGAACAACACTCAAATTTAGGAGTGTTACAACACCATGAGTTGGAAGACCATCAACATTTGTTGCTCCAACCCTTCCTAACCAAAACCCTTCCTAACCAAACGCACCGTAATATGTGTTGCATTTGGGGTCATCTAGCAGTTAATCAATAACTTCTCTTCCCATTTTACCTGCCCTGATCTAGCACTACCGTAACCTTTTGATTTATCCAATACCGTGCCTAGGATTAGACCCTACATAACGATTGGACATCTGCTTCCTTGGATGATACAGTTCCTTTTTTCAGACTTTTTTTTTGACATATATGCTTTAAAGCTTCTTTGGTCAAATATTACTATCAAAATTTTATTGCTTAGGACATGTGTATCAGAGATGCATGTATGCATGTAAATAAAGTTTATATTTGTGCATATCTATATTTTATTTCCCACAAATTTAAAAGTTAATTAACTTTTCTGATGAGTACTTGTTTCTGGAGTTGCAACAATACAACTCGTCAATCAAAATTAATGTCTTATTGAGTTCAATTGAAAGTAAAAGAAACTAAAACGAGGCTGATGAAATTTAGGTTATACAAGTGCTTCACTTAGTAACTACATAAATTCATCTTGAGATCATTAGTGCAATTTGAATGTTTCCTCAAACTAACCTGTGAGGCCCCTAATATTCATCCATCAGGGGCTGAAAGCATTTATATTTTACGTAATATATGGCTTAACTAGGGTAATTAAATTCCTCATTGACTTCTTAAATATTTTAGAAGTACTAGTTCTTGTGCACGTGTGATGCACGTGGTTAGATATCAAAATTATTAATTTTTATTTATTTTCTTACTATAAAATAAGTCAGATTCATTTTGAATTAAAATCTATAAATATGGTTCATTACTTTTGCCATAAATTTTATTTAAATATTTTTTTTAAAAAAATTATGAAATAGATTTGTGTGTAAAACTGGGATCAATATACTTTTATATACTTGCATACACAATATTATTTTTTAAATTTGTATATATCAAACTTCATGTAACATATTTGTTTATCGGATTAAATCAGCGATGTCCAATTTGTTTATCCTAGTCATTAAATATAGTGTTAAGTTTGAAAAAATACAATAATATATTGTTGATGTGTTAATAAAAAATATAATCAAATACTTAATATTAAGATAGCTTGTAAAGCTCAACACATAGCACATACTTTTTACAAGATTGGGAGACATCTTAATTATTGATAAACTAAAAATAAAATAATAGTGATTCTAGTATAATTTTATATGACAAAATCATTTACATAAGTGTATTAAAAATTTTGCATGAAAATCCCTTCTAAAGGTTCCTAATTTTACTCAAAAAATTAAGTTTTACTATAAAATATTTAAAAAATATTATCCTGTATTTGATCTTTATTTATATTTAATTAAGTTGAGATCAATCATTCTCTACTTTTATCTTTTTCCTGGGCAATTCTACAGTAGTGCCTTCATTGTCTACATCAATTATGATATCAAATGTTGATATATAATAAAGAGTAAAAGATAAGACAAGAGTCTAGAAATATATTAGGATATACTTGGATCAATCAAATTATATTATTACTCATAATTGATATGGCATCAGAGACAATGCGTTGATAATCTTAAACTATAAAACGAACTATTTGGGCCCTCTAACAGAACTTTTTTAATGCAAGCAACCATCAAGATTAATTATGAAAATCTCTTGGAGCCAAAATAAACACTAACAAGTTTACAGTGGAAGATAGGGGAACGTAATACATTCTTAAGAATTATTAATCTTTATTTAATTTGTTTATAATGATAAGATCTCATTATTAACTAACTACAAGAGAATGTTATACAATTTAAGTACAAAAGAAAAATGAGGGTTGATCAATGGTGTAGTTTGTGAGGGAAAAACTCCAGCAGCTTAATTTGGTATGTGGATATATTATAGATAGAGATGGAGAATGGTGATTTTGAAAACAATGATGTCTAAGGGTAATTAATATGGTTTTTGTTTGTGTGGTTTTCTTCATTCATTTTCGAGATATCTGTGGTCCTGTAGATATATATAGTTATAGCATTGCTACTCTCTTTTGGTTCTGTGAAAGAGTTTGGGTGTAAAAAAATTAAATTATCTAATCCGGTTAAAGTAGGATCATATAAGTTAAGCCTATACATAAAATTTATTTTAACCAACACTCATATATAACTATTACAATTGGCATTAAGATCTAAGATACGTGTGAGATTTTCTTTGACTTTTATACAAACAATATCTATTTACATAATAATAGTATAATTAAACTTTGTGATCTGAAAAAAAAGATCAAATATACAATATAATTAATTATTTTAAAATAATCTAATATAATCTAATCTAATAAGAAGAAAATAGATGAAAGTGATGCGAAAATTATTGTAATTTCATAGTTCATAATTTTTAAACAATCTAATATTATCTAATAAGAAGAAAATAACAAAGGCACGTACCTGTTGAAGGAGATGAAAGTGCTATGAAAAATTATTGTAATTTCTGATCTGAAAAAAATCAAATATATAATATAGTTAATTGCTTTAAAATAATCTAATCTAATCTAATATGAAGAAAATAAATGAAAGCGCTGTGAAAATTATTGTTATTTCATAATTCATAATATTTAAACAATCTAATCTAATCTAATAAGAAGAAAATAACAAAGGCACACACCTATAGAAGGAGGTGAAAGTGTTATGAAAATTATTATAATTTCTTGGCTTATATATATATATATTGGTATGTGATGTTGCATGTGAGAAGATAACATTGTAAATAGAGTTCTATTTAAATAATAATAGTATAATTAAACTTCAAAACTAATTATGCAATACTATGAACTACTTGAATTTTAGTTGGTGAGAGATCGTTATATTGTGTCCTTAAATCGTAGCTGTTTGTTTTAATTTTTCTTTTTTATAATTTTGAGAACGACTTTTATCTCTTTAATTTGTTTGGTGGATTTTGCAAATATCCCGTCCACACTATGTACATTTGTAGGTCTGTGTTATTTCTGGGTTCGACCTTTGGGGCAGACATTATTTATCTCGTTAATTCGTTTGGTTTTTGCATATACGCCCTTCATCTTGTATACATTTGTTAATTTGATATTTAATAATTTTATTAAGGTTTACATTTCTATTTAAACTATATTATTATCTTCATACTATGTATATCCAATAAGAATTCATCAATTTATCAACTCACTATTACTTAATGGAGGGGTATTTTTGTCTACCGAAAGATTTTCCCAAACTCGTGCTTTTTAAGGGTGTATGATGGATGTCATGTAGGATCTGATTGTTTCTCTTTATCTTGTTACTTCAAACATTTTACATAAACCCGTCATTTGATCTAACCACGCTTATTTTGTTAACTATGTCATTTGGTAACTTGGAATGGTATGAATCACTTGGTTGATGTTTGACCTTCTTTTAAAATTTTCTTGCAAGTCCTTGTCTCCATATGAGCATTTCCTGGTTTCCTTTTCCTTCACATTTACCAACACATATATAAACTGCATACAAGGATAGACATTCTCATAGTTCCAGGTGTTCAATTTTAAAGATTTTAGTTATTATGTTCAAGTTCAATGTTCTTATATGTTCTTTTGGATTTCATAATTTGGGTTTGCACTTGTATGGCTGCAGTTGTATGCTAGGTATCCAAATTTGCATGTTTATGCTTACGGTCCACTTCCTTGCACTGATATGGTTATAGCTGAAGCTTGCTCAGATTTTGTTACTAGGTGCGATGAACAAAATTCCTTAAATTTTCTTGATACCCATTTAAAGGAATTTTTTGCCTTACTAACCGTCTCAACTCTCCACAGCATTGTATATAACGATGAATTTTCTTCCCGACTGTCAGTTAATTCAATCCTCAGGCTCCGTGCCTCAGCAATTGCTGCTCTTTCAGATGATTCTTCAACTGATTCAGCGATAATAAGCAAACTTGCTCGTAGGATTCTAAGCTCAAAAAGATATCAAGAGAACAGGATGAATGAAAAATCTCCTGGCTCTTCCACTCATTCAAGTCCTGAGGAAGGAGAAGACGGTATTCACAAAAGAAGAACCCCTAAACACTCTATTCAAGGAGGTATATTTCTCTGTGGCCACACAGTTTCTTGTCTGGTGAACAATCCTAACAACTGTGCATCATCACGGGTTGTGGATGGCGTTACATCAGAACCCAGGGGGCTGGGTTTTTCTGAAAAAGGACCATACGGTGTCTATCAAAATCAAGAGCTTTACTGTGGAGAAAGTTCTCAATTTGCAGATGAGGAAATTAATGGCATACAGGAGTTTAATGGGAGTAAACAGACATTCATTGAAAGTTCTGAAGAGGTTTTATTCAATGGTCAAAGATCAGAGTTCATGGATAATGCTCAAATACCAATTGAAGTGTCGATAAGAGAACCACCGGAGGTGTTTCTTGCAGGAGTAATCATTCTTATAATACCAGAAGAGAGGGATAATTCATGTAATTGGAAAAGTTGGATATGGGATGATAGAGTGGGAGGTTATAGAGCTGTTTTGGCAAATAGAGAATGGTTCAAGGATATTGTAGTTTCGCCTTTCATGTTTCTTGATCATCTACCTTGGAGGTAAAATTTCCTCACTGTCTTCGTGATGTTTGTTAGTTAATTTATTGGGTTATTGCAGATAGACCCCCTGTATTACTGCCTATTTTTGCATAGACCCCTCACACTAATGCCTATTTTCTCATAGACCCCCTTTATTTCTATTGCTGCAGTCTTTCAGATGGACCCTGAATGAATTTTTTTTTTTTTACTCTTTTACCTCAGAGGAATAGTACCTTTTTAGGCAAATAGATCTGAGGGTAATGCCAACGGGATCTATCTACAATTAGGCGATAGTACTAGGGTCTCTCCGCAACAATTGAACTACAGGGGGTCTCTGTCATTGGATGATAGTACGGGGGGGTCAATCCCCAGCCAACCCTAATGCAGTTGTTTGCTGATTGCCATGTTTGCAGGTGTCACTATGCATTGCAGAAAGTACTGGAAACACGAAAGCTTCAAGCGGAACGGGGTGATGATTCATTTCACCATGAGCAAGTTATGGTGTGAAATATGCAGTTCGAATTCATAGCAATTCACTATTCATACAAAAAATCCCTCTTCGTACTCGATCACGCTATTGACATGCGAGGAAGAGCAATGATGAGAAGCAGGGCCAGCTAAAACAGAAGAAGATGCATCTTCTGTGGGCAAATGTGTATACATTAGCAAGCCTGTGTACATATAGAACGACCACAAAACATAAGAGGGATGCACATTCAATAGAAAGTCTCCGAGCTTTAACTACACCTAAAAAGGGGACTCCCAGTGAGTATTGATCCCCAAATTGTAATACAACATGAAATTATTTACATTCACATAATATAATGTCAATAATCATTGTTTTAATCATGTGCTGCGACAAGTCTTTTTATTATTGGACAATACAACCTACCTTGTCATCTTCTATAGTTTCTGAAATTATTTAATAATATTTGTAT